CAAAAAGGGAAATAGAAGACTTACAGCAAGACTTAAAGCAGTATAAGCCAACATTTACTTGCTGTCTTAATCTGCATTTTGCTACTGTCAGCTGCCTCTCTAAAGGCTAAATTCAACCCCATTTTGGAGTTATCGATGAAATTCATTCTCCCTACTGGAAAATAATTCTTCTTTCTGGTTCCTGCTGCTTGCTGGCTACTCTTCTGGCTTCTCTGCTTCAAACTTTCTCCATCCCTTTTCATTTTCACCTGAATATATTCTTTCCTATGTCTCCTTTCCCTCCTTCAGCTATCAGAATTGAATTTAGTATCTACACAACTTAATGCAATGGAAATATAATAGGGTGGATTCCATATGCTATACAGATTAGAATTAAATGAAATGGCATACACTTTCAAAAAGTAGCTTTTAGTCCCATCCTTTATTTCTGTCTTGTTCGGATAAACCAGAATGGAATTAATAGTTAATTACCAGTTCTTATAAAGTAAATCCTATTTTAAAAAATAAATTAAAAAAAAGGGAAAAAAAAAAAAGGTAAGCCTGTTAGACAATGAAAATTAGTGGCTGATAACTATGGGACATTTTTGTATGTTGAAGCATTAAGAAAGAAGGGAAGAAGGGAAGGAAGGAATGATGAAGGGAGGGAGGAAAGAAGAGAAGAAAGAGAAAAGAGAGAATGAAGGAAAGAAAGAGAGACAGCTATGTAAACCAATTACATTTTGTTTAACCTCAAAGGAAGATTTTTCTCTCCTGCAAGTTACTCACGCACTTGCTATGGAATCAGCATCGTGGGTAAGTTGATAGCCTCTACAGGAAAGGAAAGAATGGCAAGCTGATTACTTTATGGTTATTTCACAAAACTGATGAGACAGCAAATGATATTCAATCCTATTAAAAAGAATAAGCACAGCCTTCCCCCCCCCCCCTCCTTTTTATTAAAACAATCCTACATTTCTTGCACTGGGATTGGATGATATGATTCTACAATTCAGGCAGTCTGCAGAACATCTGCAACGAAATTGGTTTTCTGTGGAAAACTGATGAATCACTTACTGCCAATGACTGGAAGGAAAAATACTTGTTTATGCCCTTATGTAATGAATTTTTATGAGGTGAAGTTTGCTGTTTATAAAAAATACACTTTCAGTTGCTGTAGATGTAAAATAATAGAATTCAGGATTTAGAACAATGCATTACTGAAGACAGTCACTAACAGAGTATCATCTGCTTACAAAATGCCAAAAAAGGGCTTTTACTCCTGTAATAGAATTAAGATTTCCATCCATCCTCTAAGATCTTACATGAGAAAAAAATAGCAGGGACCATATTAACACTGTTACCTTTGTTATCGTATCTTAAAGTAAAATGAATATTTTTGTCAAAAAATACGTATTCTGCTTCAAAAAGTAGATCTGAAACAGAAGAAAATTATGCTCATGAGCAATTCCTCAAAAAGCAAGCAATGTCTTTCTGTCGTCATGAACAACCAAGTATGTGCTCTTTGCATGTCCCTTCACAAACAATCTCTCTCTTAAGCAAGAGTTAAACTGATAGCTGAGGGTAAGAACTGACTGCTTCACAGTCAAATGTGTCTTATGACAGTTGTATGTTTGCAAATTAATTAGTGGAGGCAGTTTTGAGAATTTAACTGAAATAATTGTTTTATTCTTACATTGGGGGATGGGAACAAGAGCTGAATTTGATTGCTATGATCATATAATTTCTTGCAGTATCTTGAGATATTTCAGTAGAAGATGTCACTGTTTGAATGTGATTTCTTTTTGGATCCTGCCAAACCATTCCAGGAATAGCTGTAGGTGATTGGAAATGTGCAGATATATTTTTAATGACTAATGCATTTTGCATTTCTTTAGCAAAAGCTGTTTTGCTGTGTAACTGAAAAACTTTAAGTGCTATTTTCTTCATATCTCCTTGTCCTGATTCTGCAAGTACTGCTAATGTACCAGTATTTCTTGGATCAATTTATAAGTGTATAGTTATGAAGATGAGTTTTCATGACACTAAACAATGGCACAATGAGCAACCTGCATTCCTTTGTGCCTTGACAAATGTCTACCACCTTTTAAATTGTTACATGGTGCCTGCTGTTGCTCCTATCAGTCACTGGGATTGTAAAAAGGATGTAACTGAGAAGGCATGCTGCAGGTCTATCCATACCTTCTGCAACAGCCAGGTTTGCTTAAACCTGTAGACAGCTGGCCAAGCACGACTTAACTGTTATCCTATTTTCCAGAATGCATGTAATAGAAGCTGTATCACTTGGCTAATTGCCCGTCTCATGCTTGCATTTGCAGCATGCTCTGAACATTCAAGCATTGCTTTTGTAGAAGAAATACTACTCACCACATGGGACTATTTTGTCCTCTATATATGGAATTAACAGCAGTGAGTGCAAAGCTTATGCATGGAAAAGGAACTCTTCAAAATGCTCATGCTGCTTACCCTGAAGCCACAGTCCTCTAGAGCTCTGATCCCTGTGTCCAACACCACCCACTGCCTCTAGCCTGGCCCTGTTCTGATCCTTTGAGTTAATATGGAACAAATCAGAGATGGGTTGTTATTACTGATAGTGTAGCAGTCAAAGATGTTAGAGCCTGTTGTGAAAACTATCCTGAAGTGATAGCAATTAGTTACTCTCTGAATCTATCTCTGAACCATGTGACTGTATTTTGTGGGGCAATCCATGGGATCCACAGGCTTCGGTAGAAGCCTACATCAGAGGAGACTGAAGGCAGGAGTTATCAATAAATATTGTGCTCACATCATACAGGCTTTTGCTAATTACAGAGATTGATTTGTGGATATTATAACTGGCTGTGGTAGTCACTTATATGACTTACCCACTTAAGTACAAACAGACTGAAACCTTTTTTTCATTAATGCAAGTGTCTTTTCAGTAGCCTCCAGGTCTGCCTCGTGTACACTGCCTCTTATGCCTTGTCGTGAGCCATACATCTCTACCCAGATAATTGGGTCTCACATAGCATGTTCAAGTCAGATGTTGTTCCAGTTGTGGTTTAATGCATCTGAAAGATGAAGATCACCAGTGATAAACTGGGTATCAACATCCAGAATACCATTGTTGTACCTTACTGTACCATGCACAACCATGACTAAAGACCTTACATCAAGACTGGGTATAATAGGAGAGGATTTCTTCAAAGTAATCATGTAACAGGCAGTAGACCTGATTTAAGGCAGAGCAAGTTTCCAAACTCTTTGCAAGTCTTTAGTGCTAATACAGATTCCAATCTGAGTCAATACTGCCACAAACACTACTTACTGTCTTTATCTGTTGCAGTAAGAGCTCTCCTAGTCACAGAGCTCCAGTGATTGCCCAGCCTCTTGGCAGAGAAACCTGATCCTTTCCACACCCCGTCTTTAGGCCTCGAACAACATCAGATCTAACTACAGAGGGCAGGTTAACAATCTTGTTAGGGAATCAGGTATATTTACCTGAATCTTGTAAGCTGTGACTTTTCCATTAAGACAATATACCTCTGAAGGTGATCCTTGACACAGTTGCACCACAGGTATGCACCCAAATGTACAAACAATTCAGAGATGCTAGGTTCAGGCTACTTCCTTGGCAGACTGTGCCCTGAAAGATGGGTTAGGGAAGATTTCTAAACAAGATGGCACCAGCTATTGGCAAGTGTCTAAAAGCTAGGTGATATGACAGGACACTTTGGTCAGTTTAATCAAACCTGGCAGTTCTGCAGTCAGAGGTTAGACAGAGGGTAGTAATGAATATGGAAAATGGCAGAAGAGTCAGTCTCTTCCTCTCTCCCAGGCTACTGCAACATACTATAATTAGTTCTCCATTATAGCTCTTCCACCAGAGCATAATGCAGAGACATTACCAGACTGACAACCTTTTTTATCCTGACAGATCCTTGAAATGTCTCCCTGAAAGTAGACTGATTCAGTTGAGATGAATGGTAGCACGCTGGCCAACTTGACTGTTCTCTAGACTCAGGATCAGAGCGGTATGCAACTAGGGATTTCATACTTATTAAAAACTACCTGCAAGATTTGGAACTACTTGTACTTGCTGTTGCACAACAAGTTTGCCCATACCTCTCATCTGAAATGGTGCTGCATTCTGTGTGCAGTGAACAGACATTCTGAGCAGAGATACAAAACTGCAGGTGTGCTCAAGAGAATGGAAAAGATACTGCTTTGCCTAAGCAGATGCCCTACAAGTATCTTTGTGCACATTTGTGTAGGTATCTGGTTCCAGTGTCCCAGACTGAGCAGGAGCACCCCACAAATGTCTTCTGCTTGACTGCCATCTATTTGGTCACTGTGTCAGGCTTGCGTCAGATCCTGCCTCGGAAGGGGGCTCCCCTGGAATGGTGGAAATTATCAAAAATACAATAACAATTTAAGTGACAACATCTTGGGAAAACTCTCTTGGGAGGGTGAAGGCAGGCAGTTGTAATCTACTTGACCAATTCTAAGAGCTTTTTCCTGGTAATGCACAAGGGGTTGACATTCAAAAGGTACAAAGCACCATTTTGAAACTACTCCCTGGTGTTTGGTTGAAAGCATTATGACTTGCAGGAGCCCAGGCTACCATATTTTTGTTATTAGAAGTAAATGAACATCAGCTTTCATATCTATCATGGCAGTAACCACATGACCCTATCCTGTGTGCCCACAATACTCTCTTAGTACAAGTCAAGACAGCTTCCTAACAAACACACAGCAAAGTGTAACAGTTGACAATTTAATGCTATGACTAGTCTGCTCAAAAGGAGGATTACTGAAAAGACAATTTGCTTTGGAACCTAAAATTGAAGAAACTTTTAAAGTGAACTGTAACTATAAACTAGTTGCCCACTTTGCATTTTAGTCTCATGAGGATCACCTGTCAGCCAAACCACTAAATAAGCATAACTAGCCTTCCAACAAAAAAAAAAAACCAAACCAACCAACCAAAAACGTCTCTTAGGAAAAAGGCAAACTTCAGAAGCTCCTGTTAAAAGTATCTTTTATTTGTCAACTTTGTTTTCATAAGAATGATATATGCCAGATAACAACTGTAGTAATTCTCAAATAAGAATATTAATTAGATTGTACTTAGGAAATATATTTTTTATCGTTCTTAACATCATGTCTTCACCATTTTGTTGAGATCATCCTTGCTTGTCTCATCTCACACTTATGGAAAAATAAAGAAATATTTCCAGGTAATACAGAAAGCAGATACTATCCCTGCCATTTATTTTACAGAATATTGAAACTCCTGATTTTAAGACTTCCATAACATCACTTAAACAAGACCTCTCAGAGCACACAGAGTAGATGGAGTGGTGGTGGTTTGTGGAAGCAAGGAATCAACATTCTCCGACTTCCTTCATCTAAATGCATCAAAAAATCACACCTGACAACTAGTAATTCTTATTCAAATGAAGATATTAAAAGTTTTCTGATGTGTTTATGAATATAATTAGTCTGTTTCAGTTATGGCTTTTTTGATTTCTGATACAATAAAAACGTTTGTGTATCACACAGACACACAACAGAGCACAAATACAACTTAATACAGAGCTGTAACTCCTATCCAAGAGTGAATGAAAGTTCTGGTCTTTTAGCTTTCTTAAATTCTAGACATTTATCCTTTTCCCTGATGCACATACAACTGCCCAGAAGTACATTCTCATGGTACATGAACACTAAAACCCTTTTGTTTAGAGAAAATGACTGAAGAGATTAACATTTCAAAATAAATTTTACTCCTTCTGCTGCAGGAAGCATCACTAGATATATCTTAGTCCTTTATTATAGTAGTTTTAACTTGAAAATATAATGCTTATGAGGACAAATTATCAATGCAGTTACTATGAAGAATTAATAATCCTTTGATTAGTCTACAAATTAACTATTTTTTTCCTATAATATCTTCAAGACTTCAGTTCATATATCACAAGACACAACAAAACAGAACTACAATATGAAAAAAAGGTGTTTTTTTATTTTAACAGTGCTATAAAGAAACTGCTGAGTATTCATTTTGGAGTCCTAAAAAGCTAACGTGGTAACAAGTAGTTTAGCAATATGCAGGTTGAAACCTTGACCTCATCAATCCAAGTTGTGACTACTACTCAGTGAAGGTTGAACTGACCACCTCGAAGTCAGAGAGGGTTGGGAATAGCTATTTAAGTGATGTGGAGAGACAATTCATAGAGAATCACTTCAGGACCAGCAAGTGACTCCAGAATATTCTCTAATGGACTTGCCAGTTTTGATACTTCTAATAAAGACAGATTTGTACCTGCTGGTTCAAACTGCAACGGTGAGTAACTGAAATTCAGCAGGCTGCTGATATACACATTTGATGGCAAGTAATATATTGCGGCACAGGATCTGGAAGCAGTTGCTCTGAAGTCTCTGTTGACTCACAGAACAGCAGCAGAATTAATGAAGTTTTGGGCTGCCCAAAGATACTTACAAACCCGCTAACTATATTTAATTGCATCAGATGAAAGCACTGTGTGTCACTCTAAAGATCAAAACCTAGAATTTAAGATCTTCAAACAAATAGGCTGGTGGGTTGTTTTAATCAGACACTGAAGAATGTAATAAACCATTTCATAAAAGTAGATCAAAGATATTGGATCAGTTGTTACCATACTATTTTGGGGACTGACTATTGATGACAGCCAATCAGGAACACAGCCACCAAAAAGTGATTTACTCCATTTAACTATGTAAGTTTGAGAATTGATTTAAGATCCAAAATAGGATGCAACGTATTTTTATGCTAATGAGACACTTCTGGGTAAGACTTCCTGTTAAAAAAGGACTGAAATAAAAAAAAAAAAAAAATTATAAAACCAGGTCAGAGAATAAATGGATAAAGTGTTAAAAGAAGGAATAATAAAAATACTGCAAAGCCAACAGAGAAAACAAATAGTAATAGTAAAAACCAGGAAGAGTTACCTATTTTTTTAATATATCTACCTGCACATAACTCTGCGTGATCTTTTTTCTGTGTGGTAGTGAGCTATTAGTGAGGTTTGGCACCCACCTCAACCACATTAAAAAAGTCACAAGTCCCAAAGATGTCATCTTATGAGTAAACAGTTTTCTCCAGTGTCTGACTCAGAAGAAAGCAGGTTACCTTGGGCAGCTGCCCCATTCCAATGGACGATGGACTTCGTCCCTCAGCTTTATAGGAAGAAGTGGGAGGTGGTCATATATACGTCACTGAAGATCACAGGCATATATATATGGCTGACTAAGAAAAATTAGTTCAGTCATCTCATTAAGTTCTAGAAGGTGCACTGTATTTGCACAGGAAGTGGCTATATCTCTTGTAGGCACACGCTAACTATGGAGTATCTACTTGTCTACCTGATGAATCACTTAAAGCTTATGGTCTATTGGTAAGAAAGCAATTCTGAGTTAGAGAAAGTGTATGTCCTGTTATGGTGAGTGAGTATGATGAAAACTAATAATCTGCTGAGATGACAATTCATTTTACACCTTTCCTTTTTGCAGTGGAACATCACAGCAGAAATTAAATTTAAAATATTCAAATTTGAAATTATTCTTTAGGCATGACAAGGATGACTTTCCCACTATATCCATCTACTAGCTAAGTTGATAATGGAAGAAGCTTTTACAATGACCTTGAGAAAATCCACAAAATGGGTACGGGCTTACTGGGCATCTTTTGTGTCTTTGAGGGAAGTATATAGCATGCAGCTAGGAAGTGGCAGCCTGACGGACTCTAGATCTAAGGAATGACTTGAGAAGATAGGAGTACCAAATTGGGATCAAGTAGTCTGAGGGAATAGAAGAGATGGTGAACTCCTTTCTTTCTTCCCTTCAGAGAAGCAAGTTGGCACTGTTACTGAGTAAAAAACTAAGACCAGTAGAGACATATGTTACAACAAATTACAGTCTCCAAAACCACCTTTAAGCTGTCTGTTTACAACAACCTCTGAATTTTTCCATTAATCTCTTTAACATAATATTTCGAGTACAGTATAAAAGCAAATCGATCTTGTATCAGGCATGCAATTCTGTCATTTCGATTTTATATTTTAGTGGCTGAAGACTGTGTACCTCTGAGCCACATTTAGGACATGTAAAATACATATCAAATAAGTAATTACTTTTAATACAGTAGTAACAAAAAACATGCGAACAGCCTATGGTATGAGGCATGGTAGGCCATTCGCCACATAGGGAACATTCCTTGCAGTGAGCTGCTAAAGTGTTTTCACTCTTGGAAAGACCACCAATAGGCAAACGCCAAGAAGACATTTTAAGTTTCAGTTTCTGTACATTAATAAGTGGTAGCAGATAGATCAGAAATTCAGCAAAGCCATGCCATAAGAGCTCCCTGTTCATGTATTCAAATCCTACCTGACGAACACTTTGCGGCTTGCAAAAAACTGACCTAATTCCTAGAATCCGTTCTGTAAGTGTTGCAAATGTTCCTTTCTGAAGAAAAATCAGAAAATTTATAAGTCCACAGATCTTAAGAAGTCCAGCTCCAAAGTTAATATAACTCTTAATTTTGCTGAATGATTGCAGTTGACGATTGCTAAATAAATCGTAACATCTTTCTTCCAACCATCTTCCACCAACAGTGAAAATAAGATACCATAACTTCTGGTGTTTGCTCAGAGGTTGGTATTTCTCTGTCTGAGATAAATTATTCTTGTATTGAATATTCAGAATAGACTGTCCCACAGTTGCATTCTTGGAATAGACAGTGAATCTCCATAATATAAGCCATAAAAATGCTTTTACTTCTGGTTCAAAATGAGCCAACACCCCTGGTTTAAATCCATGAAAACAGCTGGTAAACTGAGACCATACTAGTTGTTCCAGGGCTTTGTTTAGTTCAAGAGCATCAAGTTGACTTATTCTGAGCACAGGATTCACATTGTTTTCATTTCCAGTGCTGGAAGCCATTTCTTCACAAAAAAACTTTCTAGGAATAAGCACAAATAGGTTTTAGTACAACGGAGCATTTCCTATTATTATTATTATTAAAGACAACAAAGTTGTAATACACCAGCAGTAAACAAGAAATAACAAAAAAGCTTCTTCAGAATGCCTTATTAATATGCTACATGTTGTTTCAGGAAGCTTTATGTTAACAGTATAAAATTTCCCCTCAAAATAAGTTACATTGGACTATTTATCACAAACAGTAACATTTCTATTTGGTTATACAGAAGTGTTTAACACCTTCCAGATATTTAGAAAACTCCACAGATTTAATATTTCACTCTATAAATAAATAAATAAAAATGCTGGACATAGCTGTAATATTCAGTTGGACCTTGAAACAGAAGAACAGAAACAAGAATTGTAAATCTATATGGCATTTTATTGAGAAATAGGGAAAATGAACAAACTATCTAAAATCTGGAAGAGAACAATGGGGGGGGATAGAAAATATTGCCACATGAATACTTCAGTAACTAAAAGTAAAATCTCAGAAATAATAACAAATTTAAGGATTACCTACAGGAAGACATGGATGAAAATTAAGGTGGGAGTGATAAAGCTTTCTAAATAAAGGCAGTGTTTTGTTTAGTTTAGAGAAGAATCATTATATGAGATTAAATAAATATTCAGCATTCAGACATAAATTATCATTCAGTACATCACTGAAGCCTGCACATATTTTCTAGAGTCTTTTGACATGTGTGGGATTGCGCTACTTGTTGTATAACAAATTTCCTGGCAAGATGATTAATGTATACTAGCAACTTCAACAAATGTATACTCTTCTTGCTCAAGCATTATAGAGAAAAATAAAAATATTTTTTAAAATTGCTTGGTTTAAATGCTATTGTATTTGGAATTCTGTAACTAAGAAAATAAATGCAGCAAATTGCAAGAGCAAAATAGGGATAATGCCTCAGTAATGCAAAACTGAGGTAACTTATTTTTGTTTCCTTTTGTCCACATAAGAAACACAAAGTGATTTAGGAGAACTGGTATATTTCAGGTAGAATGAAACATTTTCTAAACCAGATTCTTTGTATAACAGACAAGAAAGGATCAACAGCCTTCTGGAGAAAGTATAGAAGAAGGTACTTCAAATCCTTATTTATAAGACAAAAACCTGCTATAATACAAGACTGCTTTGAATAAAAGATGCTGTAGAGGATCCTATATAGGAATGGTTGCTAGCGATGCTAAGAACACATAAAAAAAAATACTCCAAACCAATAACCATTTGCTGAAACAGAATGCACCAAAAGTTTTAAAACCCAGTATAAAACATTATATGTAGCATTCATACTGTATTCTACACCTATAATTGGTCATGTCCATAAGGAAAATATCATGCAAAGCTAACAGCAAATACGATTTTGCTCTTAATGTATGCTGTACAATAGTAGATTCCAATTAATCAAGACTGGCTATATGGGCAGGGCATAAGATCGCTCCACTCAATTTCTTTAAGCATCTTCTTCCTCATTAGCAAGCAAAATATGGCTGAAAGTAGGGTAAGACCACCTCCTCTGGGCAAAAATCTATGGGGTTCATTGCATCAACCCGCACTGGCCTGACAAGCCAGTACACAAGCTTATACAAAGACAGTAAACCCAAGCCTGTCTCACTCACACTTGCATCTTTTCTGTAGTAAGCACCAAAGCAAAGGAAGTGTGGCTGGAAAGCATTACCCAGTATCATCCCAATAACTTACCTCCTCTCCACTCTGTGATCAGAGGGTCAGTTCAGCCCCTTCTGGAACCACAGCCTCTGATAACCAACTGCTCTGCAACCTGTCACTCTGGTTTAGTGCTATTCAATTGTAACCCCTAAAAGTCTAGTGTCTTCTTCACTTCTGATAACACCTCTGTCTCTTCTACTCATTTCACTCCATTCTACTCATTTCAGTTATCCTCCTACTAGTGTTCTACACAATTCCTAGGACACAAAATTCCCTTTCAGAATCCTAAAGTCATTTGAAAGTCACATCTTATTAATCAGCTTGCTTGATCCATCTACTGAGACTATTTTCCAACATGAGTTCAATCATCTTTTCCAGCTGTCCTCCATTATCACAGGTTCTATGAGAAATTGCTGCTGTAGATTTCTCACAAATAAGGTAGGCTAAATCTGTGCAGATTTATTTTTTTTTTTTCCCCAAGTATAGCCAGATTATTTAAGGAAACTTCATCAAGTGAGGAACAGTTCATCAAGAACCTACTAAAGTTCAGGGAAAATGCGTCCAACACTCAGGATTACAATGGATCACAAAATACACAAGAAAACCCATGGATCACTATAGGCTGGGAGCTGACTCACTGCATAGCTGCTCTGAAAAAAAGGACTTGGGGATTCTGTTAGGCAGCAAAAGGCATCAGTCACCAGTGCATCCTTGCAGCAATACTGCCTACTGGAGTGCATTAGTGTGTGTATAGCTAGCAGGCTGAAAGATATGTTTATCCCCTCTACTTGGCATTGGTGAGTCTACACCTGGGATACTAAATCCATTTTTTCCTCTTTTTTATCAATAGTACAAAAGAAATGTCAGTAAATCAAAAAGAGTCCAGCCACTAATATCACCAGGGAACCCCAACAACTGACATATGAGGATAGTTCGAAGAAACTCCAATTCTTCAACTTGAAGATAAAGCAGCTAAAAAGGTGATCTAATAGTAATCTTCAACTACCTAAAGGTTACAGAAAAGATTAAGTCAAACCTTTCTGTGAGATGCAGTAAAAGAGAGGCAACTGGCTATAAGCTGCTACATGATAAATTCTAGTTGGACATAAGGAAACTGGAACAGCTTGTCGAGAAGGACTGTGAAATCTCCCTCTGTGAAAGTTTGTTAAAACTTAACCAAATGATGCCCTAAGATACCTGTTCCAGCATTGAATTTATCCCCGATTCTCGCAGAAGGATGGACTAGATGCCAAAAAGATCACCTCCAGAACTTGGAGCTTGACCTCCTCAAAAATCTGTGCATGCCTTGTTGTAGAATCTAATTGATTTGTTACAATCCTTATTTTTCTCGTGTCCACGATCCTTTAATAACCCTATTTGAAGGAAATAACTTCAGTGAACCCATGAGTGTTGTTTGGAACACTGTATACAGAAAATGGGTGCCACTTTTGGATCAACAAGTCCAACCACCGTTTGTTAACCTTTGAAATTTTGCAAATTCCAACAAACTCCTTTCTAAAAAAATTAGAATTAACACCATATATACTGTTTAACTGTAACATATTTCATGTTTCTTCCTGAATTGCCAACTAGCAGATTGATTCAACTTTGAAGTCACTTTTAGACAAACTTCATGGAAAAGGAAGAATATCAGACAAAACCAAAAGCAACTAATAATAAAGATGTACTCCTTTAAAATACTTTAAATTATGCTTCTAATATTCCTATGTAAGCAAAGCTTTCCTTTTGATGAACAACTATGTAAGCATTCTCAATTTAAGCAACAAAACTGGGCATTGTTCTGAAGTTCTTTGTTGCTAAGAACACTAAGTTTGACACAGACCATGACTGTTAACTGGACCCTGCAAGTTACTTAAAGATTACATCCACACAGCTCTGACTTTAACGTGTAAGCACATTTCAGTGTGCTTACTGTTATGTACAGGCTAAAGTGTTCTGCTATACAGTATGATTACTTTTAAACCGATTTAAGATTTTACTGCACTTGCAGGGTAGATACTTCCTACAAACATTAAAAGGGAAATTTTGAAATACGTATTTTCCTATGAAAAATGTCTGCAAATGGCCTAATGATCTGGATAACAGCAACCATTTGAGAGAAAAGGCCTAAATTTTGCTGTAGTAGGGAATTGTCATTATATTCTTTATCTATGGTATCTGTTTTTTCAAGTGATAATAAATAAAGAATAAAAGATAATAAATAAAGTTTTCTCTTTTAAAATTACTTCCTCTATACAAAATCCTTTCAGAAATTTGGTAGATTTTTCAGTTTGTAATGTTTTCACAAATAGTGATCCTAGAGTAGGAATAAAAGAAATATTCTGGTTTAAAACTAGATAATAAACACAGCCTGTGTTAAGACATTTAACTTGTAGTTTTTTATGTTATTTTTGCATTTCATATTATGCTGAGCTACATGGACTATAAAGAGTAAGTTGTTTTTCCCCCATGTTTCAGCATTAAATTCAATTAGTCCTGCCTTACTGATTTAACCCTCTTATATGGTCTATTTTAAATTTTTTAAAATTTAAAAACTCAGAATTGTAGACCTAGCAATGAAGACAAATATCAATGCTCCATTAAGGATGCCATCAGGCTTAGCTTACAGGATCAGAATTGAACAGTCAAAAATCAGGTGAAGATACATAATAAACTATGTGTGATTAACTTGTTACATAAATACAATACAAAACACTAAAAACTACTACTTGAAATGTTCTCCCTTGATCTTACACCATCACAGATATTGCAGAGAAAAAGAAAAAAAATTGCCTCCCAAAAGAAATAAATCCATAGAATGCTTAAATAACCTATGGTTTGTTTGTGTTTTTTTTGTTTTTTGTTTTTTTTTTTTTTTTTTGTTGTTGTTGTTTTTTTCACTAAACAAATGAACAATCCCACTTGTACAGTACACTGTACAAAAAAAAAATATAATTATTGTATATCACCAGGGAAAGTGGGATTTCTTCTGGTATGTTAGTGCTGTTATTGAGCATTGTACAAATTATGAATGAATATATTTTATTTGGAAACATGTTATTGACAGAAATCTATCAATAGTAATGTGGGTATTGTCAACAGCCTGTCAATATTAATGTAATTATGATTAAGGGGATAACATGGATTTTAGCTATAATACCAAGTAACATCTCCTGCATCGCTGCTATCAATATAAGCATTATTATTGACCTGTTCTGGGACTATCAGTATGAGATGTATTACCATCAGGCATATTTGTCAATGCATTCTGCCCACAAAAATTCTACATTTAAATTTAC